AGTTAGAAGATTGCTTGGAACCTTAAAGGCTTATGAATTTAGAAAAAGGACAATTACTTCGTACTCTTATCTTAAATGTAAAGTTCTCCAAAGTTATGGTGTTTAGCAGATTGAAATGAATACAAAAATATCCCACCTAAATGTAAAAAAAATGAGTTCTATCCCCTTTTGAAATTTTCTGCTCTGCTAAAATTGATGTCAAACTGAATTGGGAAGTTATTATTGGGTGGTATATATATAACGAAGTAGATGAATCCTTAATTTAGCAATCTAGCTGGATCGAGCGCATTTTTTTGCTTGCTATCGCAAGGTGCTGCCCACTGCTTCCAGCGATGCGGATCCGCAAGTAACTAACTTTCAAACAGTAATGACCGTCAAACGGTGAAAAAATCTACGCTACCGCTTTGCCATGTATGCTATGTCTCAGTATAGAATTTATAGATTACATTACATTGTAATACTAATTGTCCTGATAAAGTGCATTGTCAGTGGTACCTATAACTATACTATCTGAGACCTGTGGCAAATTCATTAAATAGAGTCTTCCCATAATATAAAAAAGGTTCAGGTTCTACATTACGAAGTAAAGAAGATATGTATACTTACTAACACTATTATGATTAGTGTGTACATTTTTGGTTAATTATCTATCTAGTAAATTTTAATTTAAAGAACGCAGGTATTATATTGAGATAAAAGTTTTTTTGAGATTCGAATAAATTTCGTAAAAAGTTAGTACTCATTTGACTCTAACGTAGCGCACGAACGTTCTTCAAAAATGGAAAGCGGGAATTCCCCGAGCTTTACTAGCCTGCGCCATCAAAAATGAACCTAATGGATGCGTTCTAAAATTGAGTTACATGGTTTTCGTAGGAATGTGTTCAAATCTCGATAATTCATTTGTCATCATTATCATAAGGTCGTCAGTCCTATGACTGGTTGAACACGCACCTCCACTTTCTCCATTTCACTAAAACTAGAAAAACCCACGTCCTTAGCTATTTGTGAACAGTAATCTAATCTAGGTCCACTTCTGCCCCTCCTAATATGTCTCTGACTAAACCTTCATGCCTGAAAAGGTGTCCTACCAACCTATCTCGCCTATTAACTTCCATAGAGCCCTCTGTACTCCTGTCCTTTCTAATGCCTTTACATTTCTAACCTTCTCTATCCACGGTATCCTCATTATTCGTCGGTAACACACCACATTTCGAACGCTTCTAACTTTTTCTTTTCTTTATTTGTATAATTCGTTTATGTTAATAAATCCACATAATACTGTTTACCGAATTTAATAAATGTTAGGTTCCTTCTGTTCTCACGACGCCTCGGGCTGGGAGCCCGTGGCATTTTGCCTGTTCTACCACCCTATTGTTACGCGACCGTGCATTGTCTTGATCTCAACTGTTAAACAAAATTACTTACAGTAACTTTAAAAGTTGGATTTCCATATTCTAATCGTGTCTTATTGATAAAATCCTCACGACGGATCGTGGTGACGTCAAAAGTGTTCAATCAATAAGACTCGATTAAAATTCGGAAATCCAGTTTCTTGAGAGTTAAGTTTACTAGTGTACCTAAATGTGTAAAATTTTTGCTTTTATTAGAGGAACAGTGACCAGTTTAAATAATAATTAAATTTTTTTAAGTATAAAAATTGTTTCATTTCTTTGAAAAAACAATAAATTTCTGGATCCGTGCTGGATTATAATAGTCCGATAAACCTCTAGATTAAAAACATTGCTTGAGTTCCATCCCTGCATGCTTTATATTGTAGAGTTTTCCTCAGCTAATGATGGTAAGTGTTATTGCAAAATCTAATTTTTTTCTACACCTCATTAAATTTTTACTATAATCGAATCAGCGATGCACTTGATAGTAAATGACTGATACGTTATCATTTTAACAAACATACAATTAATAGTTTGTAAACAGTTCTTTCGTAATCAGTTAATCAGTTGTTTATTATGTTTTGGAAACGGTAGATAATCAGCAGATTTGTTGGAGATATTTTACGAAAACAAAATTACTATATCATTATATCTTTTTTGGCAATCTAAACGTTAATTGGTTCAGATGACTTTGCTTTTATTTATAATTGCAAGGTTGTTTTTTAAGAAATAAAGTAATATAAAATTAATAAAATACACTTTTGTAAAATTATTTTTCCACATTTAATTTTTCTTATTATCATTCCTTCAAGCATAGTTTTTTTTTATGATAGCACCCATTTAATATATTTCTTGTGTGTACCCTTCACCTGTTTGTACTCCCTGTACCCCCATATATCCACCCCTTAGAAGGCAATACATATAAATTGGTGCTTTAAATAAATTCATTCTTCTATTCTAATTATTTTTACCTAATTTTTGCCCTAATCCTCAGATTCTTCCCGTAATAGCATTGGCTTTCGTAATCTGGTCATCTGTATGAATGTTATCACGGTTGTTTTCATATAACATGTAGCCTATATACATTATTGTATATTTTTACTCTTTTAATTTTTTTCCTTTCCACCTTAACTCTATTTTGTTACTACCTTTTTCCTTTTTACTTTCCCAAATTCCATTATTCTGTTTTCCTTACTGTTTAACTGTAGCTGTTTCCTTTCCAAATACATTTCTATCATTTTACCATGTCTCTTGGTCCCCCTACGCAAGATGTTAACAGAAATAAGTGTTGAGCTTGCAGGAGGTGACAGACCAATACAAAGAATTAAAATTATGTAAATGTTTCACCGTTTTCGAAACAAAACAGTTGAAAGTACAAGTATACTCAATTCCGGCCCTGGTAAAGAAATACAACCCGCAACGCCGCACTAAAGCCGCTAGCAATTACCAGCATCAGTGTAGTGTTTGTCTTGTATTTTTTTACTCATGTATTACTTATTTGTCAAATTGGATCAATAGCCGTTTGTTCTTTCAATGTGTAAACCTTGTATGAGGCAATCGATGTGCAATTGAATAAACTAATTCAGCAATGCAATATCAATCATTAGTGTAGGTCAGTATCTATGTCATTGTAGAACAGTTGTTATAATAATGGGAAATCCTTAATTTCAAAGAAGAAAATCCTCTCATGTGATAATGTACTAAATTTTAAAGGAATAGTTGCTGCATCCTTAACTTTTGAAGCGACTGCAAGCCTTGCTTGAAATCGATTTTCAGCTGCCAGTGGATTTATGTCGGTGGTTTCGGAAGAAAACTGATTCATAGTCTATTTTTTTTTACATAGGTTATTGTTTACAGACAAATTTGCTTTAAACGGAACGGAATAATAATTGTTGGTGTGCTTTTCGTACATCCTTCGCGATTTCAGGAACTGTTTTCGGTAAATACGTGGTGAAAAAGTTTTGGAGACTTATTTGAATTTTTTTGACAAGTTTATTTACAATCACCCCAAAAAAGTAAATGCGCTTTAGTAATACTTCAATGATGGTGTAGAAATTTGCCATAATAAAATTACAATTATTCCGATGATACTTACGTACCAACTAATATTTAGGTAACTTAAATTTTTTTCTTTCTTTTGTTTTCATACAATATTGAGTGCAATGTACCTTTTTAATTTATTTAGTCCAAACATTATGTGTAGTAAATTGTGTGTTTTTTTTCTTAGACATTTGATAATTGGCAATATTTACATTTTCCATCGATATAGGTGAGCTTTTATTGCCGTCCATTATTGGAGACAACTACGTTACCAGTTTACGCGCAGGACCGGCTTCAGACTGTAAATTATTGTAATTGTCTCAAATTCTTTTTGCTGCTGAACTCACCATGCGATTGTTTATTATATCTAGTTTATACCCTCCAAGACTCGGCACACATTTTTGTTACACCCTGTTTTTGGAGCTAATAATAAAATGTAAATAGATGATGTTCAAATTTTTTTCCTCTTGCTTTTACCTTTTTATCTATTGCATTCTCCAAGTCACTCAAATATAATACGATATATTGAACAAATGCGTACTTTTATTTTGAGTGCTACATGCTAAAAAAATCGGATAGAATGAAAATAAATTTTATTTTAGGCGCGACACGCTACCATATACTTCCCTAATGTCTCGACGAAGTGGGCCCTAATTTCATTCAAACTTAAAATTTTATTACTTATTAGTTTTATTTCTTTTTCTTCTACTTCTACCCTCCTTCTTTTAAAGCCTTAGTCGGAAGCAGTACTTCGGAAGTGACAACAAAATTCAATTAGTTGAGGCAGTGCCCTTTTCGATAACTATATTTTGTTTTTCAGGTGCATTAAGTTTGTTTCATGTACAGACGCGTAACTATATTGTAAAAGTTAAAAAGATATTTGCGCTTTTGTATTTAATGCTTCCATTAATGTTTATTAAAAAAGAGCGTCATAGATGTGACTTTAAAAGATGCAATGTTGTGAACTTTCAGTGTAGTTTTGAGAATTAATCATCTTAGTGATATCAAAATGAGCATTTTTATATTTTTTATGTAATTATCTTTTCTGCCGAGCGCTTTCACCTAAATTATAAAATGCTTTGTGAAAAAGAAAGATTATTTTTTTTTCTTTAAATTAAATTTTTATCAAAGGGTTCGCTTTTCTTTGTGCTTAAAGTATGTTTATCCACGAGTTATATTTATATTCGTATTTTCTGATTTTGTCATTTAAAAAAATTTAAATATAATACGCTAATCAACCCAATTTATTTTACGCCATTTATTAGGAGTATTTTGGTTGGCATTTTCAAGTAACAAGGTTGAACTTTTAATTACGGGAATACTTAAGTACAAAAGGTAATCAGTCGACTAAAGGCAAGTAATATAATCAGTGCGCAAAACGAAGAGTCGCAACTGTGACATAAGCAAGTTATATAAATACATTGTGATATAAATAAGGGATTATTAATATAAATATTATGTGTATATAGTGTATAATATTGTTATTATATAGTTTAACCGTCACTAATGACTTTTTTGTGTATTTCATGCTCAAAACGTTAAGCAACTGAATAGAAAAAATGAACTTACCGTTTTCCAAATTCAGACTTGCCGAAACGTCGATGGGATCAAATTTTCTGGATCTGGGAACGACGAGCGAACCTGGAACAAAATGAGGACATAGATATTACACCACCATCATCATCATCATCATCATCATAAGGTTATCAGTCCTGACTGGTTGGACACGTACCTCCACTCTTTCCTATCCTGAGCTAATATTCGCAATTCCCTAAAACTAGAACAACCCACATCCTTAACTATTTGCGAACAGTAATCTAATCTAGGTCTATCCCTACCTCCTCCTAACTCTTGCTTCTACCTCTAATATGTCTCTGACTAGACCTTCATGCCTGAGAAGGTGTCCTACTAACCTAACTCGCCTATTTCTTATTGACTTCCATAGAGTCCTCTGTTCTCCTATTCTTTCTAATACCTCTTCATTTCTAACCTTTTCTACCCAAGTTATCCTCATCATTCGCCTATAACACCACATTTCGAAGGCTTCAAACCTTTTCTTTTCCACCGCGCCCACTGTTCATGTTTTGCACCCGTACAACGCCGCGCTCCAAACATACAGCTTTAACAACCTTTTTCGAATTTCTAAATTAACCGTTCACGAGCATAGAAGTGAATTCTTTTTATTGAAGGCAACTAGACTAGACCCTGCGCTATCCTCTGCTTTATATCACTACTACTACTTCCGTCCTGTCTTATCTGACTTCCTAGATATCTAAAATCAGATAACTTAATATTAAATATTTTTGTCAATTGGTTTCAATTAAAAAACAGAAAAATTATTATTTTCCGTAACGTGTAAATTATAAATTTTTTAACCCAATTAAAACAAATACACATGCTTTTCATCATACAGTTGCATAATTGTATTCAGTGAAAATGTTACGTTTCCAGTAACTATAACATGTTACTGTATTTTTTGTATTTTTTTCTATTTTTTTTGGCCATATTTTAGTGTTTTGATCCCTTAGTAGAAAAATAAGAGAAATTGGCCTGAAAGTTAATGCGTTAAATCTTTATCGCAAAGGTTATCAAACTCAGCTATGACAATGGATGAGTGAGGGGTTCTTAAGTAAGTTACGACGGTTTCTATTAGTCTAAGATTACATTATGTTTATGTTGAGCAAAGGTCCACATTATCGAATTACGTTGGTGACGTAATAGTCGGCACGTCACAAAGTTTAATAGGGTAAACTGTGAATTAATTATTTTTTTGTTTTTGAAAAATAATGTGAAATGCGAAATTGAACATTGAGAAGTTGGGTAAAATATATTCGTCAATTACTCATACGAATATTCAGAACTGTGATGATCCAATTTTTATACGAAAGAACAGGAAAAGAGTTCATGGTGATCTGAATTCTATATGGGCATTTCAACCTAACCTAACCTAACCTTACTAATGACATCAAAGTGAGCGCTACTGCAGAAAATTGTCATCAATTGTAACGTTCAATAATGCTTGACACTCCATGTAATAAACAAATAAACTAGGAAAGAAACTCACCCTAATTAACACAAAACTTGTTCATTCTCCACACTAGAAGTGGATGAAGAACAATTTTTGTGGTATTTAGGGTTGCTATCTCTTTTAGCTTATTTATTCCATTGTCAGGGTTTCCATTTTCTGCATTTACTCCATGTAGTACATCTTTTAAAGAAAGTACGTATAGTCTTATGACGCCCACTTTAGTCACGCAGGTATGAGCCGTGTGACTAATCATCCCGCACTCTTTTTTTATGAATGAGAATACCGAGATCTTAAATTTTATACTTATATGGTGACTACATGCACCTGGCCTGCTAGGTGGTATGTATAGATGTAATACGTTTAATTAATGTCACCAACAGACCAGGGTTAAACACGTGTAAATTAGTTAAATATATGTATACACATAAACAGAGCTATAAGGCCTGAAACAGAGCCTTTAATTAAACAGATTTGGAGACAATAACTACAACTTCATAATAGCATATTACCTACAAACATGGAAAGTCACGTGATAGAATAGAATCGGAAATTTCGGTTATCTAGTCGAGCATGTTACGTAATGTTAATTAACTTATGATTAGAAAACCCATTATACAATAAAAACTATAGCTATAATCATTTATATTACGTAACTAGTTGAAAATATTGGTGGTTATCAGAATTATTACGTTGACCTTATAGATTCTTTTAAGTATATTTCTTAGAGGTAATACAAACCAATATATAATAATAATGAGTACTTCGTTCAATATGTATTACTACACAAATTTACAAATGTATTTTAAACTCATGTAATATGTAAGTTCGCTTAGGACTCGTTCTGAAAACGTATGACGAGTATTTATTTAATAATTGCTACTTGTCTACTTGAAAATTTGTGGATTCCAAAAATGCTACTATTTCTATATAATTTTAAAGACAACGTTTTTAAAACACCTATAGAAATTGTTACGTCTGTCTTGCCTGTTTAAAAGAATTAATAAACCTAGGATCAAACGAGTTTTGACAAGCTTTTCCATTTTCAATGGAGTTTCTAACTCATATATGTCTCGTACTGCCAACATATTACACTTTCCAAACAATTTAACTTTCTCTACTATTTCAAGCCAATGTTTTCATAATATCTGTAGCGACTCTAACGTTTGTCGTATTGCTTCACTTTGGATATGCTTTTAGCTTACCCCTAGCTCATTCTGAAAACATATCGAAAGTATGCCTAAAACAAATTCAGCCTAACTTTAACCTTTCTACGCATGAAAAGTTATTATTTGTTTATTATTTTTTTCACAATTTCCACCTTCATTTATCATTTTCGGGATAATATGCTTTTAAAATATTAATAGCGACTGTCGCATGTGTTGTTAAAGATATAATAATCTACTTCCAATGCCAAGCAAGGTTTGACACAATGTTTTTATTACCACTATATTTATATGCATATATAGCAGCATGTTTTCTGTTTCAAACTACCCTTGTTTGTTTATAATTCTGTCGCAATTTGCGACTGAATTCTTTATATGTTGTTTTATTATTTCGGAAAGAAATTCGTTCGGACAGTTGTGATACTGTTCCAAAAGCGCTCATAACGATGGTCCAGGTCAAGCGATAATTACTAGTCCGAATCAATATATAACTGCAGGAATGCATTTCATAAATTGAGCCAAAGCGACAGGTATTTACAGATTACATTTACAACCCATCATCGAGCATACGACTACTGCATTAAACGAATGACTGTTACAGATACTTTTCCCATCTGCTTTGATTTTATATTTGGCTTTAGATTTAGGTATTAAAGGACCTCGTTACGTACAAAGTGACTTTATTTGCGAGAGGACTCTATCAATAGATGGGAAAACGATTCGCAATGCCTTTATTGTTCGGACATTATAGTAAAAGAGTAGTACAACGTTTTCTGGGATGTTTGTAAGTTGAATGAGTTTATCTAACATTTAATTCGAAATGTTTTTAAATTAAGGAAGGTCGCATAATTTTGAATACTGAAGAACAAACCCCAGCTCAAAACCCCAACGCCAAAACACGACACTGTAGTTGTCGGAAGCACTTTTCGGTACCTTCTTCAGGGACTAAAGTGAACTAGAACAATCCCTGAAGAAGGTAACCTTGTTACCGAAAAGTGCTTCGGACAACTACAGTGTTGTGTTTTGTCGTTGGGGTTTAGAGCTATTCTGTTTGTTCTACAACAACCGCCAAAGTTTTTCCAATCTTCATATTTGAGTACTGAAGAAAGTACAATCTATACTAATGTTATAACAAGTTTAAAGTTTGTATGTTTCAATGTAGAAACTACTCAGCCGATTTCAAAAATTCTTCTACTAATATTTAGAATTGATCTGAAGGGTGGATATACGCTGTATTTTATTCCGTTAAAATAAGAGGGCTTTTGATAGATTCCAATTTACTAAGGCGTAATCTTCAGAGAATCTCCAACTGAGGATGAGTCTTTGAGTATCGAAACGCGTTTTAGTTTTCTATACGTTTTGTGGGGTTTTAGGGTTTTAAGTGTTTATTTAATTACGTTCTACAGCACTCATTGTTAATTATATTTTGTGTATCATTGCGATAGATACAGGTTTATTGAAAAGAGATAGGTATAGGCCGAATTGTGCCTTTGTTTCTTTCTAGAGAGTGATCACTGTGAGGGTAAGGCTTAATTCTTAATGTCTATAGTTAGGAAGATCAAAATTGACAATTTCCGGAATAAATTATCTGTGAGAATGGATGTAGCTACTTTCTTGTTTCCACTTGTGACTGCACACGTTTGTTGCGCCTTGAAGACGTCTCTTTTAAGTTAGAAAATACATCATGAGTAGTACAGACAACGTGAAAAGAGATAATCGAATGATAGTAAACGGTGCAGCGGTTAGAGGTTGTTTAGGTACGCTAAAGATCAGGGTCGGCTTTATAACTGTCTGGTTCGAATTAAATAAATAAATACATAAATTCCTGAGAATGCTGAACATTCTTTAAAGTCTGACATGAAACATGCTCAAATTCTACTTGTCTGCATCTATTTCTATTACACATTAATTAGTGTAATATTATTCCTTTTTCGTTATTAGTGTCCGCTGCAATTCCTACCTGGCATCTCTTTTCCACGTTTACGATATTCCCTATAATGTCTGTCGTGAGTAAAAGTACACGTTCTGTCAGTAACCGCTCTAGTCTAGTAAGCAAGTTGAAAGAAGAAAATAAATGGGACAGTTTTATTGCGGACTATGTCAATTTTGAATGTCCCAACTATACGAAGGCGGTTCAATAAGTACCCGTGTTTGAAGACAGAGGACGTTCCTGAGGAAAATTGGTGTTGTCATCGTGTGCTGTCATCTATCAAACCACGCCAAAACGAATTTCAGACTGATTGATAGGTTAGTTTGGATTTGGCAGCCATTCGACTGAGACGTGTTTCATTGTAAATGGAAAAAATTATTT